CGCGCAGCCGGGAGTCGGTGCGCAGTCGTGCCGTTACAGTCTCGGCTTTATCAAAAGGTTTTTTGATCCAGAATAAGCTAGCCCCTTACAAGCTCAAGCAATTTCTTCAACCATTTGCTCTGCAGCTACAACTGACACCTCAATCGCTTTCCAATGCTGGAAAGGCTGGGTCAGTCGAGCGTTGCCGCCAGTCCCTTTTCAGAATCCGAAGTTGGGTGTTGAAACAATCATCTACGTCCTTGCACTGTAGAATCAAATTTGGACAAGGAACACGCATCAGGAGACGTCGACAAATATAACATTATCCTCTAAAGCATCACTCCTAGCCGAACCAAGCCATCGGTAAACAACCCTGATTGTATTTGCAGCTCTGAAGCCGCGGCCCACAGGAGGAGCAGCGGAGATTACCTGAAGGACATCTGGTTGATTCTCAGCTGCCGGACCCTGAGGGGGTGGCGCGGATTGGCCTCCAGCTTCCCTCTTCGACTGACCCCTCCCTACCCCGGCTATCTCCTTTTCCAGCTCCTCGGTTCTCGCTTTCCAGTGAGCAGCTTCCTCGGCAAGCTGCCCGTTCTTCTCCTTCAAGTCCATCGCTGTTGTTAGCGTAGAATTGTGCTGGAGGATATCGGACGTCGTGGTTGTGCCAGCCGATGCAGGCTGCACGTTGTTCGCGCGGAGCGGCCACCACAGGAGACTCAAGAGGCCCTGCAAGGAGCAGAGGTTGCTGCCAAGCTGTAAGGTCTGATTTGTGACCTGGGCAAGCCTGCTTTCCTTGTCTGGACGAGCAATTGTCAACTAGAAGCTGAAATACTACTCACTTGGAGAACTTGAAAGAGAGTGGTCGAATCTGCAGGCCAGAAACTCATTCAGGAACTCAGCCAGGAACTCGTGCAACGTTCCTCCGTAGGAACAGAGTCCTATGGAGGGACCTTTAGAGCTAAAAGCTGAAGCAATTTCTGGTGCTCCTATAGTCCATCTTACCTGCTTGTGCCTTAGCCCGTGCCAGCTCCGCTTGCAATCGCTGGACCTCTTCAATTAATCCCCTCGCCTGGTTCTCACTTTCCCTCATTAGCTGCTCTTCTCGATTTCTTTCCTCTTCCAGCCCGGCCTGTGCCTGCTCAGCCCTATCAGCCTGAGCCTGAGCTTCAACCAGCTGTTCCACCAATTTTTCCTTCTCGTATGCCAGCTTCGCCACTGCCTCAGCCCCCTTATCCACGCAGCCTGCAGGCCATGAGACTTTGACGAGGTTGCTGCTAGGCATAGGTGCTGCATGTCGTCGAAAACAATGTTATGCATTTAGCAGCATTGCCTTATGATCTGAAACGTAGTTCTTAAAGTGAAACACACACGCAAACACTGCTCATCCTCCTCGTTGGAATCGTGAAACAAGTCGAGTCTGTACGGACCCAGTCATCTGCAACTCAACACCAACGTTCTTGGTCTGCACTGGTAGGCGTAGCTTACCTGCTTGGTCTTCAAGCACCTCCATCTGCATCTTTCCACTGCTAGCCGCCTCTCGGCTGCTCGCTTCTGCAAGCGCCGCGGCCAGGCGTGTGCTTTCTTTCTTCGCTCGAGACAGCTCTGCCCGCAGCAATTCATACTCAGTTACGGAACTCTGCGACACCTGCTTCACCGTTTCAACTTCCCTTTCAAGCCCCAACCTTTTCTCTTGCTCCTGCGCAAGTTCCCTCCGTAATGCCGCTGCCGCGCTCCTTCCCCTCGCCTTCGCATCCTGCAGAAGCTCAGCCCCTTTCGCTTTCTCTGCACGAGCCCCTCGTCTTTCCGCCTTTCCTATCTCTGCTTCATAAGCACGTTGCGCCGCTGGAGTTGAAGTATCCAAAGTCTTGACAAGCTTGGTGAACTCTGCCGCTATCTCCGACCCCTTTCGCCCTGCTTTAGATTTTGCACCTGCATACCGAGAAGCGACACTTGCCCTCCCTCCCTGACTTTCCGTTCCAACCTCCGACAAGGTTTCAAAACTAAAGGGATCATCCACTTCCATTGGAGGGAATTCTGTGAGGATCTGCTCCACTAATATTGCGCCCTGCCTCTTGCCTAGGTTATCTTCCTGCTCCCACCGATTCTTGTCTTTCTTGTTTGCAAAGTAGACTAACTCTATCTGGTAGTCATTCCAGTTTCGGGCAGCCCCCCGCTTTGCCTCTTCGTCTCCAAACAGCATACCCTTTCTAGCCCCTCTGCTCAACCAACAGGTAGTGCAGATACGATTGCACCATCAGCCAGTTGTCTGCCACAACGCAGTGTGCCTCATTTTCGCCGTACAGTGCCTCAGCTGCAGATGGGTTGTCCTTTGGCTTAAAGCCGCCGTGGGACAGCGTATCAACAAACAAGAAGCTACCATTTTGCCAGATGACAAGGGGAGTGTGGGATTGGCGGATACCTCCCAAGGTCATCAAAGCTTTCCGGCAGCACTTATCATCCCATGATTGTTGGGATAGCTTCTCAAATACTTGGTAGACAGTCTGCATTGGTTCTTAGCTTGGGAATGGGAAAGGATAGCAGAAGTCTGCTCCCACGAAGGGCTCAGCTGCATTTGGTCTTTCAACAAGATACGCTGCCCTCTTGATGCCGTACTCGGCCTCAGAGTAAGTGCTTTTGAATTCATCTTGTACGTCCACCGGGAGGTTCCATGTTTGGAGCACCTTTCCGGACCTGCTTCTTCCTGTTTGCAGTAGTCCATTGAAGATCTGAGGCAACAAATTTGCCACCCGTTGCAAAGCTTCCCCAATGGTTCTCACACCTCCTAACTTGCTCAACAGCCTGAAGGCAAGATGTGTGCTGGCTTTGGCAGTCTCTGGTCCTGTGGCCTTCTGGTCCGGCCCAAGCAAGCAGACATTCAAGTTTATCCCGTCCCTAAGACTCACCATAGGCACAAGACCATAATGGCGAATCTGCCCATGATCTACCATGTCCAGATGTTCTGACTTTCAGTGGAGTTTCAAAAAGCTGTTGAATTTCCAAGGCATAAATCCATGAGCAAGTCGGAGCGACAAGCACTCCAACTTACCTATCGTAAATGCAATGCAGTTGCAGGGTAGGATATCTATACTCTCTGACTACGACTGTGACATCTGTGACGATTTGTGCCCCATCTCTAAAGACTACAGTACCGTACCTATACGGTACAGTATAGGTTGGAGCCACGTCACGGGCCCGCCGGCCACTGTGGCCGGTTAGCGCGCGCGGCGCGCGGCCATGATGCGCGGCCGCGCCGCCTCCAGTCACCACTGTCGGACTCCACTGGTGACTGGCGGCGGCCGGGCGGCCCCGACCCGAGCGGCCGCCCGCCAAGCGGCCGCGGGCTCTTTGCCAGCGCATAGCTTATACGTTTTTGCAGCGAAGGCCTTCCGGGGAGGGGTGTATTTCGGGGCCACTCGAGCCCCTTGACTGGACTGGTAAAGGTGGTGACACATATTTGGACATGGCTGCCTCGGGCATGACTGTGCTCGGGGGAAACTAACACTTCGAAAACCTAAACCGTAAATCCAGCACATGCTCCGTACCCAAACCCACCCTAACCCCCAAACCAACCCCACCCGTCCCCCGTTCCTTCTCAACATGGCCCTTTCAAGAGTCGCTTCCGAGTCCAAGTTGAGCTAGACAACTTTTTCATGCCGCCCACTTTTGCCGCCCTTCCGACAACTTCAAGTTTTGAAGGTAGGTAGTCGGAGACAACTTTTGCCGCCCGGGACTCGGACTTGGCTCCGCCTTGGCTCCTGAGTCCTCAAACTTTGAAATGTTTCATCGGGGCTGGTTCCTGATTTGGTCACACTCACAGGCGTGCAGGCGCCTCGAGGCCCAAAGTTGATGCAAGATGGCCGCCAACAGGAAGCATGCAGCTCAGCACGCACGAGGGCCGCCAGCTGAATTCTTCCCGTGTAAGTATTGCTCGAGTGCTTTTGCAAGTGAGGCCGCGCGCAGGTCCCATGAGAAAAGTAGCATGGTCTGCGTGATGCAATCTATCCGCAACTCTGATCCCAACAAGCGATCTAGGGGACCTGAGGATGTGCAGCAGGACAACTATTCAATATTTGCGGATGCTTTTGTGCCCCAGAATGATGAGCAAATGCCGGACGCTCCTGACCTTCAGGATCCACAATCTCCCCCCCAGCCTGCCAAACCTGTTCCTCAGGCTGAAGCTAAAGCCCCACTGCCGGGCCAGCCGCTCCCCTTCAACTCTGTCAATAAGCTGATTGTCGCCTTTCAAGGAGCTGGACGGCGGGTACGTCCACTCGCCATGGCGGGGATGGGTCGCTTGTTAAGAGTGATCAATCATCCCGACTTTCGTGCCAGCGACATCGCCAAAGAACTTTCTACTGCGCCAAAGGTCACTCAGGTGCTAGGAAGGATAGCTCTGGGAACGGTAAGCACGCTTGTCTGACAGCTGTTTAAAATTACGTAGTCTGTCAAAGGGAGCATAATTATTTTCAAATGTTCAGAGAAGATATTCAAATCTGAGTTGCATAGCTGTGCTCCTAAGAAGTCATGCGCAGGTTGTGTGCATCTCCAAAGTGGTCACGTTGATTTGCTGCCATCCAGTTGTTGTGGTTTTGTCAGTTGTGGATACTATTTGTGGTTTGTCAAGTTTTGATGAGGCAGAAACCGCCTGCATCATCCTTGCAGACCGCGAAGGTCGTTGACATCGCTCGTCGGAACCATCCTTGGCCGATGTGGATGGCTTTCATCCCAGGCGCAGAAGCGTTCAAGATGCTCTATGGCAATCCCGAAGCAGGTATACGAGCATCCCAAAATGTTGGGACCACTTTGTTGCAAATCAATGCAAGAAAAGGTGCTACCAGAGGGATGTTTTCTCAAAGTTGATGCTGGTGCTGCTATATAAGATAATCCGCAGCTCTATGCTTCCAACATTCGGAGCGCATTCGTCATAAATCATCAGACCGCTCAATGCTTGTCTATATTCGGCTAAAAGCTCGAAGGGGCCAGAAAAATGCGAAGGTTCCAGTATCTTAGCAGAAGACTATGGGTGGACTGTAAACTGGTGATAGGAAGGCAGATTTATCCCCATCAAGCTGTAATAACATTTCTGACTCTTGATACTGAAATTTGGTTTTTATATGTGCTTTTCTGCAGCTGGAGAATTCTATTTGAGCCCCGAAAAGAAGACCAGGACGCACTATGACGAGAAATCCAAGAAGGGTGTTGAGATCCGTGTGTATGGCGAGATGCGGTGGGGAACTTGGTGGAATGATGCACAAGCAGCACTGAGGAGTCATTACCATTTCTGGTCTCTGGACTTGTATCAACTTCCCAATTGCGGCGGCGCTTGGACGTGCATGCCACCCACCTGCTCTGCGACCATGATTGGAACTCGAGCCCCATTTCTGCAAAAGATGGTTGGAGTGTAACACAACAATTCTTATATTCTGGCAAGCTTTGTTGTACAGGTCACTAAGAGGGAGGAGGACAAGGACAGGCCTGAGGGGATTACTGCTCAGACAGTGTATGTTGGCCTCCTTATCTGGCATTATGACAAGACCCACCTTGATGCTCTTGGGAATTACGTGCTGGCGCCAGTCTACACGAGCATTGGCAATTACACCCGCAATTTCATGGGACGGTGGAGGAAGGGGTACATCTTGGTCGCTCTTTTGCCAGTGCCCAAGCCAGATGCCTTCGCAAAGGGGTGGACCCGAGACACCCCCGCATCCAGGTAAGTGTCCGTAGATAAGTTTCTTTGCGGAGTATGTGCTCTTTCTCTCTTGCTGCCGGAGGTTGGACTGGATAGCTATTCCATTGTTGCACAAAGGAATATCTGCAGAGAAGGATGAGTCCCCAATATATATGCCAGAAGCCAAATTGCTCGGTGGAAGACGTTGGGGAGAGGCTGTCAATACAACGAATTTTGTATGTCTGGCTTGTGCAGTACCAACGTGCGGTACTATGTTACTCAGGGAATGGTGGAGGTGTACGAGTCCCTAAGGGTAGCGGGCTTCGAAGGCTTGGAGTGCAAGTAGGCAGGGTTTCTTGTAAAGGTGACTCTGCTGTGAACGTTCCTTGTGTGCTTCAAAACTTTTTTCGGGCACTCTTTAAGAACAGACACCAGAGATCTATCTGAAAGGTTGATGAATCTCTAGTGTCTTCGCTCGTCACAGACGCAGGCCGAAAGACTCGACAAAACTTTTCTAGTTTTCAAGTGTACGTTGGATTGGTAAGTCTTCCGTGGCGTTGACGCAAAGCTTAAAGCAGCACCTCAATTCCTAGAACAATCGTCTCCAACGTAGATTCCCGTTTTCTTGAGATCCGCCTCATGGCGGAGTAAGTGGTGCACGATCCCAAAGTCACAAGGATTGAGTCAAGTAAATTTTGTCCAACTGCTCATTGGATCCTGACCCTGCATGACATACTCGAAAATGCTATGTCCATCCTTCCGCAGGGACCCTTTTGGGGAAATGCGGATGGTGTATCCATTGCCCTTCATTTTTTCGAGTGATCTCGGGGAGCAGTACCATATAGCAGGATTGGTGGCGGGCCACTGTGCATCGCAACAAGTGCCAAAGTCTGAGATGGGAGACTTGAAGAACTTCCGGTCTCATTCAGTACGGACCGCGGCGACGCTAGCGGAGGAGCGCAAATCAATGGAAGGGATGCCGACAGCAGAGGCCAACAAGCACGCAACTAAATGCGGTGTCTACCCCCGCCTCAAGGTAAGTGCTTCCACTGGCGCGAGCTGTGTCCTGAGCTCTGGGATTCCACCTGCACTTCGCTGTACTCAGCATCGAGAGCACGTGTACTTTAGCGACTGAATTTGCTAGGTCTGCAAGCTGTTGTCCTGTTCGCGGAGCCTCTCTCAAGATACGTACTTTCTGGATGCCCCGTCGCGAGACTCCTCTGCATCTACTATGCCGATACGTTTCTTGTCAAGGAGAACCTAGAGTAGGTTTTCGACCTAAGATTCAAGGCCACAGGCACCCGCTGTTTGTAATTGGTTGTGGGTCTGGTACCTCTTAAATTTGGAAAGGCAAATGGTCCCGCAGGCATCTCGCACACGAACCTCAAAAGTACGTGACTGGCCTAGTGGAACAACCATCATAAGCTTGCCAGGACTGCTTCGTCCTTCGAGTACATGCAACTCCGCTGTAGAGAGCGTTTTGCTTCTTTTTGGCACTGCCTTATGGTTCCGTGCCCCTTGTCTCCCTCAGTGCTTCTTGGAGGGGTCGGCCTTTGAGGGAACGCCGTGGGGCAACATCATGCTGGTGTTCTTGGGTTCGGACGAGCTGCACACGATATACGGTGGCCTCTTTGGAGTTCACTTTTACCAGATCCTCTCGACGTGCGCTCCTCGGGGTCGGCAAACCGAGCTGCTGGCTCAATTGGACAGGGCCGTCGCATACGCCGCCAGTACCGACAAACCCGGCTGGTTACGCTTGCCTTCCAACCCCACCCACTTCTCAACCCCGCACAAGCTTTCCTACCGGGAAAAGGCTGGTGTTCTGCAGGTATGTGATTGTCGTGCAGGGCCGTCTCTTTTTCCGCGTTCTTTGTTTTGATAATTCTTTGCAACGCCCGCATGCGCTCTTGGTGAATCGCCGCTGGGAGCTGCTTCTTCGCGTTTATGGTGCCTGACTCCTGCTAGATTCCTCACTGTCAAAGAGATACTATCCGGAAAGGTCAAAAATCTGTCTGCAGATTCTGCCTGCGTCCTTGCGAACCTGTGCAAATTTGAAGGAGACGGGGGTGACGTTCTGGTCGAGTGGGTCAATGCCCTGAACCGGTGGATCCGGGTGACCCTGTGGAACAAGGAGCCAGACGACCTGAGTTTGGCAAAATCGGACGAGTTGCTGTGGAAGTTTCAGAAGGCCTCAGAGAACATTGCTCACCTCCGCAAAAACAAGAAGAAGGAGGTCATCAGCACCGGATGGAATCTGCCAAAGATGGGCCAGATGGCATTGTTTGGGCCAGCCACGATCAGAAACGGACATCCAGAGTAAGAGCTACCTTCTCTGCTCTGGAACAACGGTCAGTCATCGGTCAATTGCTCGGATCAGAGGTCTGGAAGCCCCGCTGCAAGTCCGATGAGGCTTTGTTGCTTTCTAAGTCGCTTCTTATGTAGAAGCCGTAAAGCCTTTTTCGCAGAAGCTAGGTAAAGAAAGGTACTGTCAGAATGACCCTGCAAGCCAAGGTCACTTTATTGGTTGATACAAGAGTCGGGATTGAGTCTGTTCGTGGACCTTGAAGCCGGAAAGCTTAAGCATCTTTGAAGTGGCACAACAACCAACAGACTGTCATACCCACAGGCGGCCGGGTATGAGAGTCACAAAGGAAAAGGACCAGTCCTTCTGCTGAATTATTGCATCCATCCGGCAAAGCTTGCCTGTGTCAAGCATTGCCGTGGCCTCGGCTCCAAATCAGTGGTTCTTGTCATTGTTTGTGCAGCTTCAGCAACACGGATCGCGGCGAGCAAGCTCACGAGCTGGTCAAGGGTTGGTTCCAGATAATCGGAGCGAGACCTGGGGAACTTGTTCGTCAGATCGCCAACGCGTAAGGTCGTCAACTGACTCGTTCAGGGCATTATAGCATAAGGGCTGTGATGATGGTGTTGCAAGTAATAGATTCCTTTCATAACGTGCTTGTACGACCATCAGTTGTTGTGGCTGAGTCGGTTATCGTGTGTTTTCCGCATACGTTTTGATTCGTCCGCGCACTTGTACTTACATCCTGTTGTGACGGTTGGACAGGGTTT